ACCCAGAGTCACCGATTGTCGAGCCCCCGGGCGGTAGATCTACTGCTCAAAGACGACTGGTCAATGATGACTCGGCGCCGGTGAGGCCGGTCAAACTTACGCGCCGCTTACTCACCAAACAGAGTGAGTCGGCGGACTCTGAACTCGACTCGAGTAGGACTCACTCGATCGCGACGCGCCTCTGTCCGTCCGGCTGCTCGAGGACTTCTTCAACTGAGAGGCGAGCACGCGAAGAGTCCACTCGATCAAATCCATCAGGGGTGACTTTTCTACGTCAGCAGCAGCTACACGCCGGTTTTTTCGTTCGTTCTGTCCGATTGTATGCCCTTCCGGAGCCTGTTGATTGAACATATCTCGTCCAAAACTCCGTACTTCACTCACGAACCACGAACCGGTAGACCGGAAACTATCGAGTACCAAGACGGAAACCATCGAACCTCGCCAATGACTGGATGACCATGTCCCGCGCTGACCCGCTCACCGTAAATCTCTCCACTGGAGGTGGCCGGTCTCTAACGAAAACAAACGACCATCAGACCGGCCTCTGGACCGTCGGCAGCAAAAACAAATGGCTCTGGCCGCACAAAAACGCCTCGGGCTGGCTCCACCGAGCAGCGGGCCGGCTCGACGATCTGGCGAGGCCTCGAGCGCCGCGAGCGCCGCGAGAACGACCGTCACGCTCCATCCTTATTACACGGGCCGGCTGATTCGAAAATTGCCGCTGCGTGCACCAGTAAAAAGGCCATTATTCCGGCTATTGTGCGTGGGAAGCGAGCATCGACGGACGCCTGTGACGGCAGTGGTGGCGCGCCCGTGGCTGTTGTGGCGCGGTGGTGGTTGTGGCGCGGTTGTGGCGTCTGTGGCGCACTACCGCAGACCGCGGCGATGCGTGGTGCCACCCTGACGGTTCCAGCCGGAGACGCGTCTCCCCGCCCGATGTCGGGAGGGAGGGGCAGAATAAGTAATCAATCGGACAGGACATGACCCAGGACACGTGCAGGGCAGTCGACCTGCCACCTGGCGGTTGGCGGGAGCAGCTCATCGATCTGAGAGCGTGGCTCAGCGCGGTACTCTAGCCGGAAACCGTCGCCCCCTCACCACGCCGGCGCGGTCCCCTGCCTCTTACCCCAGCTCCCCCCCTCCCCGTCACCCGGCCCAGACTAGTCAGCTGACCCTATTATAAATCATGTCCTCCCTGGGGTCCTCAGCTCCATTCCGAATCATTTCACGCGGACCGTGTTGTGTGGCCTGCCCCACGTGGGGTGCACCGGGCAGCCCTCTCATTGGTCGGCGCTCACCCAATCAGCGCTCGGAGTTTTTGTTCCGCCCGACGAGCCGGCCTGAAAAGAAATAGTGCTCGACGGGGCGCTGAGAGGTTAATGTTATTATGGCATACACGTTGGGACCGACTCTAAAGTCCAATTAGCAATGTATTTTGATGGCCGCTGTATCTATTCTATTGAATGACTGGCGCGGAGCGCTGCGGCCCCAAAAGCCCGGGGAGGAGCTAGAAGGTCAGCCGGCCCGCTCGAAACGCTCCGACAATGCCCGGCGCCGGCGCCCCCTTCGTTCGTGATTCATGGTCGTCAGATCGGGCGCTCACGGCGTGGCGCGCCGCTCCTCGCCTCCTTTCACCCGCCGCGCGCCACAAACGCCGCCGCTGCGTCAGCTGATTGGAGAAGCGATCGCGGCGCAGGCGGCGCGATGTGGCGATTGAGGCGTGTTGAACCGCCGGGAACGTCGCCGCCATTCCGGAGTGGTTACCGCTGTGCGGGCGACCGGAGAGCAGCCGCCGTAAAAAGGCCGACCGAGGCCTGTTCAGAGGAGATACGTGGGGCATTCCACGTCAAATCAAACACCGAAATCCGTCATCCCCTTCGATTTTTCTGAAAATTTGTAGGCAGACTGGGCATGGTTCAAAACTGAGTTACGTATAATATTTTCAAAATTTGATAACGTATCGCTGAGATATAGGTCATCGAATATAGCGAAAAATGCCACACATCAATTTTTTAAATGGCTATAACTCTGGTTCCTTTTCTGGTATCAAAATGATATTAACAGGGTCTTATAGGCAATTGATAAGGCTTTGATTTTTAATTATAAAATTAAATTGAAGTGACCTTGAAATGCATTTGACCTTGAATTAAAACAGAAAAATTTAAATAGCAAAAAACACGTCCCCTTCGATTTGGGTAATTTTTACATATTATGTCCGTCACAATGTTCCTAACCATCTGTGAAAAAATTGGAGTGGGCCATTCATAACTTTCGCGGCAAACGCCGTTTTCATGCATCAACATCACGCAACCGCGCGTGACCTTGAAAGACAGAGTCAAGACATGCTTGCTTGTGTACACTTTCTGAAATGAATGATTGCTGATTAGCGATATCCCAAACTCTGCGAGAATGGAAATGCATAGTCATCGTAGTCAAGCATTCACGTTCCATAGTAAAAGTGTCTCAGGCAAACGGTATTTTGCGGTGAATTTTGAGCCGTGTGGAAATGCATCATGAAGTAAATTCAACGAAAACATTATCACGCTACGATATTTTCACGTCTTTTGATCTCCACTATACGAAAGAACATACATTTTTTAGTATGTATGGGGAATTTCTAGTTAATCCAATAATAAATATGGCAGTTAGAGGCCTGCTAAGAGTAACATGTCGCCGGCTGAGGCGGGCTCGGCCGATGCGGGAAACGCAGCAATCACAATTTTGTGTTTACACGTTCATATTTCAATTGTTTACCAACCGATTTTCAAAATTTTTTCGCCATAAGATTGCCTGTACATTTCTTAGTCTTCTCACAAAATTTGACGCGAATCGAAGGTAATCAGCGGTAGGGAGCGCGATGTAAAGACGGAACCGTTCCGTTCCGTCCCGGCACAGTCTACAATTCAGGCGGCGTGTAGCGGTCGGCGCCGGCTGCCGAGCCGCCGCGTTGCTGCGGCGACAGGATGTTCACTTTACACCGCTATTACTAGAACAGTTGTGAACCGATTTTCTTATTGCTTGCACGATGAGATGCCCAATTCAATTCTTGACAGGTAGCCATAATTAATTTCGCATTAATCTTATGAGATATTGGCGAAAAACAGGAGGGGTGGGCGAAATTTGTTCTTCCCCCTCCACTGCGCGTGCTAACATACGTTTGCATATGTGCAATTTTCTTCAAAACTTATGAATGGCCCACTCTAATTTTTTCACAGGTTGTTAAGAATATAGTAGGCAATAAAATATATGAAAATGAGCCAAATCGAAGGTGACGTGTTTTTTGCTATTTCAATATTTGTGCTTAAGAACAGAGTTAAGCAAATTTCAAGGTCATATATTTAAGTTAGTGCAGTTCTAAACAAATGCTTAAGAAATTACCTAAACAGTAAGGTTTATTTCATTCAAATCAAACAAGTACAACCAAAGTTATGGTCGTTCAAAAATATAAAGATGCAACATTTTGTAAAAATTTGATGCCCTATATTTAGAAGACCTGTGGTCAGAATGTGCAAAAAACATCAATGTAATGTCCGGAGCCACACAGGAACTCGCTCACAAATTTATAATGAAATCGCTGATGGTAAGGTGCAAAACAGCCGATTTTTGTTCGATTTGACGTGGAATGCCCCACGTGGCGCCGCCGCCGGAGTGGCCGTGGCTGCTGTGGCGGCTGTGGTGGCGGTGGTGGCGGCGTGTGGGTCTCAGCGGTGACACTGGGACCGTCCAATGGTCCTCGTGGTCTCGGCGGTCCCGGCAGTGGCGCCACCTCGGCGGTCGCCACCCCGGTAATCGGGGCCTCTGCAGACGCCACCAGGGACCGCCGGCGGCGCTTCCGCCGCGGGGCCGTTGGCGCTCCTCCCTCCCCTCTCTCCCTCCCTCCCTCTCTCTTACCCGACCCCTCCCGCTGGCCTACCCGCTCTCCTGAACGAACCCTCCATCTGCCAAGTTTTGCGTAGATACACCCGGCTAGATTCCCAATTTCCTCTCCTCCATTCGTTTACGATTCAGGCAGAGACCCCACGTGGGTTTATCGGAAGATGTTAGGCGAACTCCCATTGGCTCTCCTGACAGCCAATCGGTGCAACCCACGTGGGGTGGTCAACCAATGAGCTGCCTCGCTTTTGGTAACACCCACGTGGGCCGTGTAAGTCAACAAAATAAATAGCATTTTGCGCAAATACACCCAAAAAGATGGTTGCACGCAACCAATCAATGGCTGTTGGTCGCGTCAGCTCGTCTGACCGGCCCGGTTCGCTCTGGTATTGATCGGCTGGAGACGGTGGTCGGTGGCCCGGCCCGGCCGCGAACAAAGGATTGTCGCTGACAGCTCGAGCCACTCGGAGCGCTGGCCCAGTCAGTTCGCCGAGACTGCCTGTTTGGCCGCTGCTGGCCGCAGCTCTGCAAACTCAACCAGACCATCAAAAGAAACCTTTTACCAATTCAAAGCAGCCGGCACTGGGCGGCCCGAGCTCCATTTGGACTGACGGGCACGTGCCTGTGAATTTCCGGCCTAACCGCCGGCCGGCCCGCCGGCGCTGCCCCGCCTGCCGTATCGATTGTGTAGCGACGGCGGACGACTGAGGGCGGCTTATAATTACTGGCCCGGGGTGTGATTCGATTTGTGATTGGTTATCCGTGCTCATGCACCCAGTCACAGAGTGAAGCAATCGAGCCGAATGAGCGCTAATACAGGAACAACCCCTATGACCCACGTGTGATGAGTTCTAATCTTCAGAGACGGGTCCGCGGTAGGTATTTGAAGCTGGTGCCACCGATGACCCGTGACATTCTCCCCCCCCCCCCCCCCAACCCCCGTCTGGGACGCCTCAGCACAATCCGAGTCCCTCACGTCTGAATGAAGATTGTGTTCTCGGGAGCCTCGAGCGCGATCGGCGCGGCGCGCCAGGATCGTCTCCGGTGCTCCGAATTCCCCACCATCGCTCATCCATCGCCCGCCATCGCCCGCCATCGCCTGCGTTCAGCGCGGAAAACGCCCGGCGTTGTGGTGTGTCTCCGTTTTATTGGCACCGACCAGTCGCGGCTGGCAGCCGCCAGCGACACATCTAAAATAACATCAACAATCTGCGGGCGGGGGGTGCCAGGACCAGGGGGCGGGAGGGGAGGGTATATTTACCGACCAACCGCCGGAGGGGAGGAGGAGGATGGGAGAGGAGAGAGGAGGGGGGCGACCGCTCGGCAAATGACAATGGCAGCTGGCGTCCTCTATGCAAAGTGGAGGTAACAGACGACCGTCGGTCTTGCTTCTCGGGCTATTTACAGGACGCGGTAATGAACGCTCTCAATTAGTGATGCGACGGTTTTGAATGAATGAAAATAATGCAGTAATGAGGGACCATTCAGATCATTGGCGTCGCACTAGATCGTGGGGATTAATTAACAAAAAATGGCACCTTTTGTAAACGTTTCACCTGATGAAAACTTGTTGCTGAATAAAACGCGATTGATCAGCATTGTTGCTAAATCTGGAGGTAATTCGTGGAGGTAATTTGGAGGAAGGTATTATATGCATTGTTACGACGGGACTACAGCTGAAAAAAAACGATATTACCTACCCTCTGTAAATATTGCCAAACCAAATGGCAAGTACATACCTTGTCAGTTTCAGTACCTTTACAACCCCAGTTTCTGCATAGCCGTGGCTATGCTTCTGCAGAAGAACACAACAAAAAATAAACCATAATTTTCCAGCAAGTTCTTTGACAAATCCAAAAAGGTGATATGAGATGCTGCAAGGGGGCACAAGCAAACTTCTCCAAGCTCAAAAGAGACACCTTGGAATTCGTTTCAATATCGGCTGCTTTTCTATACTATTTGAAGGAATCTTTAGCAGTTTTGTTCAGCAACTTCAATAATTTCAAACACTGCGAGGTCCATTGGGCAAAGGGCACAGCTCCAAATGACTCTCGCAGCCGACAGTACTTAATGCTGCATCAATATTATGTTCCTCGCATTTCCGCCAACATCGACGCTCAGAATGTTTCCATCAGCATCACAAGGAACTGCTTTATAAAGCTAATGTACCACTCCTTTTCAATGACGCCGTAATGCATGTGATGCTGCCGCGTTTGCAGTTTTCGAGAACGCGAATAGCGAAGGTACGACTCTTTTGGGCAGACTTGCTTACTTTATACGGAGCCATCGCTCTATGGTATCTAATGCCACTGCAGAGAGGGACCGAATCAGCTGCTGCTCAACGCGGCGATTGATCGGGTTTGTACTGTTTCTACGATCACCACTTCTGAGAGAGGGGGTGCTGGGCTGGGGAGACGGGGAGAGAAGGACGGACAAGGGCACACTGAACTACATCCACAGACACGCATACAGTTCCGCCGCACACGGACACGAGCTCGTAACAAAAATCGGGATGCGATCTTTGACTGTTAATCGATCCGGCATATGCGCTCAGTTTCGGTGTGCTTTGGAACAAGTTAGAAGACTCACTTGCCACGCGTTTTAGCCCGTGCTCTGCACACACTTGGGTACACGCGCGGACAAGCAGCAGTCACCTAGTGTATGTATGTGAAATCGGCCAGTCTTTGTACCGAGTCGGCTCCATGACCTGACCACAGTGCCAATCGCAAAATGGCGGCACCGTTCACACACAGAGTAGCGACTAAAATTGACTCGGCCACACCAGGCCCCACCCTTCACACACCACACACACACAGCGACGCACCGATCATTGTCGAGAAAGGTAAATAACGAGAAATGTCTCCCAACGCACGTGCACGTGCGATACACGCGTACACGTATACCACACATAGTATACACGCCCGCAAACGCACACACTCGCACATATACCGAGAAATCGCCGCGACGCCGCGACACCAGCACACAAAAATAGGACGTATTTTGATTCGAATCCCTTCCCGGTGAGAATTGTACATATACGTCCTGACTAGAGTGAAGACCAGGCTCGCGCATTATCACTTATGAGGTTCGCCGCTCGGCCACCAGAGGCGCTGTCGGCGGCGATTGTCTTAGTATATCACTTCGTAGACGGTGGCCTTCTTGTCTCCGGAGCCGGTGACGATGAACTTATCGTCGGCGGAAATGTCGCAGCTCAACACCGACGACGACTCCTTCGACTGGGAAAGCGAGTCAGAATTATAATTAGATAAAATAAATAATTAAAAGGAAATGCTTAATGAAGAATGATTTCATAACTGTCTAGATTTAGTCGTCCTTGTATTATTGATAACCTAGAGAAACTTCAAACAAAACTAACTGGCTGACGTTTCCTAGGACTTGTGGTGGCTCGACAAAGTTATTGTTTTATTCAAGAAGCGAACACATCATTAAATTTATAATAATCGACACATGGCAGCCACTTTTAATCGTATCAGTCAGCTCATGTCGTCTTCGTGTGGCGTGCGCAGCGCATGCAAAATTAGTAATGACCACCACACATACCTGGAATATTGATGCGCCATAGGGCGTCCTCCAGGCGTTGAGCAGGTTGTCCTTGCCGGTGGAGACGAACCACTTGCCGCACTGAGCGAACTTGAGCGAGAGCACGCAGCTCTCGTGCAGGTGCAGCTGGTACTTGTCGGGCTTGTTGACGTGCAGCACCTCGACGTTGGAGCTCTCCATGCCGACGGCCAGCCACTCGCCGGTCGGACAGAAGCCCAGCGAGAAGATCTGAGAGCTGAAGTCGTGCTGCTGCAGCTGGCGACCTTCGCGCAGGTCCCACGAGCGCACCGTGTTGTCCAGACCGCCCGTCCACAGCTTGTTGCCGTCGGACGAGATGTCAATGCACGAGGCGCCGTCCGTGTGCCCCTGGAACTGGCGCACCAGCTGCTGGTTGTGCAGGTCCCAGACGGCGATGTTGCCGTCGCTGCAGCAGCTGAAGCACACCTTCGAGTCGGGAGAGATGGCCAGCGCGTAGCACGCCGGCGCAGATGAGGGCAGCTCGCACTTGATTCGGGGAGTCGGCCCGGCCAGGTCCCAGATACTGAGAGTGCTGGCCTCGCCGCCAACCATCAGAGTTCGACCGTCCGGTAGGAGCTTCACCGAACGGATGTAGTTATCCCGCTGCTGGAGACGAGAAACAGTGGCAACGTTCTACCGTCAGCGCTGTACAACTCGTATGTCTCAGCAACAGGGTGTCAGGCATCAGCTAAAGGTAACTTCAGATGCGCTGCTGTTAGAAGTTTGGCAGCGATTTGACTTTTTCAACAACAAATAAGATAAATGTTTATGCAACGTTCGAAGCCAAGGTACTTTTCAGTATGAGGTATTCCACAGTAAAATATACCTCTGTTTTTTTTTGTTGTTGTAAATGAAATACGGAATGTGTTTCACTTTTTCCCATCTGCGACATAGGTTATCGTACTCACCAAGCAATCGAGCTGCGAGACGGGCGTCTTGGCGTTGGACTGTCCGATGTCCCAGACCTTGACGCAGCCCTTGCCGCCCGTGTAGACGAACTTGGTGGGGTTGGAGATGGTGACTGCGCACACCACCTCTCCGTGACTGAGCGTGTTCATCTGGCGCGCGTGGCGCGGGATGCCGGGGCCCAGCAGGGCGTCCGTGGGAAACGGCACGGGCATCATCTGACCGTCCGCCGACACATGGAAACTGTACGCCCTGAGGGAGGGAAACGGGAAACAGACTGTCAGCACGGCAGAGTAAAGGAAACGCGGTGTGAAAAATGGCAGAGTAAAAAGGGAAATGGAGGCGGGGGAGTAGGATTTGTAAAAAGAATGGAAATTAATAACTACAGGGCAGGGAGAGATGAATAGAAGCAGGTCCTGATCGGATGAATAGAGGGGAGCGAATGGATATTCTTTGATAGATGGACATGGAACGAATCAACGCATGAATGAAATAAATCGAAAAGATTCAAATCGAAACAAGTTTTCAAACGGTTTGAAAGAAGACGACACTGAATAATGGCTGCGAGAGGCTGAAGCTTGCCGATATAAAAAGCACAAATGAGAGTATCTGTTATTAAAAACCTATCATATGTATACATTTCAGAATGACCATTAACTATGACTAGCTTGGTATTGTTCTTATTCATTGGGACAGCCATCCATTTCCGGAGCCATCATCGCTCACTGCCTCATTCGATTCGCTCGCGCTTCATATCACCTAAATCACCGAATTATACGCCGGTCGGCCAAAACCTGTGCCACTAAAGTCTCACTAATTAGCTCGATGTGAGTCACCCTGGAGCTTACAATGAGCACCACGAGCAGCCTCAAGGAGCGGCGTAAATGGAAAAGTTTAGTTCAGGTTTTCCCACAACCCCGCTCTCTTCCGTTCGACGATTAGTAATTTAGCGATTATGAACAGATACAAATATGCACGCATTGTTAACGATTTCTGGTATGTACGTACCATAAGTAGGTATATAGTTGTAGGTTCGTTCTTATGTGCATCAAATCGAACTTTCGGATTCCTTTTTGGTTTGCAGCGAAAGAGAAAAAAGTAGTAAATATATCACTGAATCGCCATAAATCCATTCACTCCATTCACAGAAGTGTTCTTTTGCTAGTTTCTTTGCCCCAGTTATCACTGTAACTCAGGATCATGTGTCCCATCGTCCGCTCTATTTCCGGCTTATCGCCACAAAAAGTTCATCATTAGCGTAAGCACGGCCCTCCCGTCCACAGAGAATTCCTCGCGTGTCAACAGCCTGACGCCGGTGCGCCAAGCGCCCTCCGGATATTTCCGTCAGTGACGTCATAGGGACACGCCTGTGACGTCACAGGAGCGTTCAGCCGAGACGAGAATGGCGCATCTGAGGCGAGACGAGCCGGCGGTTCATCCCCGGAGGGGTATTAGTGAAAGGAGACCACGATACACAGACTTGGGAAATTGAAATCAAATTACATGGCTTGGGGCGGGATAGAAGGATTGCTTAAAATTATTTAGATCAGCCGGAAAGCAGGAAAAATAAGATTCGATCAGCTAAGTAGTTTCCTGGCTCGATCTTATAGTAGGTTTTAAGTCGTACCTATGCCTATCACAACGCCAAACATACAGGGTGATTTTTTTACTTGTTAAAAGGTAATGAGGTCTAGTGGGGTTAAAATGCAAATATATCTTCAAAATTATATACCAGGATGAAAAGCATGCTGGGACATTTTGATTTCATGCGGACACGATGCGAAGGAACGTCCATCGTGTATTTTACTTGTGCTTGAAGTTACCGACACGAATCAGCCCGCCTGAGCACGTGTTGAACAGCACCATGGACTCCCATACTCATTAGGCGGACTGAAAAGGCTCCTATCGCCCATTTTCAGCTCTGCCAGATATTTCCACTGTTTTCTTGTTATATCTGCCATAGCTGGGCCCAAAAACTAGAAGTTTAGGGAGGGCAGGTCGAGGATTTTGATACTGGCGGCCCTGATGGTGTCTGATTCGCTGTTTTTTATTTCTCCCTGAAGACTGATTCTTCAAAAGCTGCTCATACGCCAGATGGACTGTTTGAAGGTTATTTATGACTACAAGCTTGTTCATGCGTTATTTAACGTCTTTCTGAGGTATCTCCTTGATCATCGTATGCTTCGAACTGCCTCAATGCTTCAAAATCATCGTTTTGTGTCGTTCCTTACTGAACGGCGGTGGACCATGCGTGCCCGATTGGTGGGACATTTTCAGGCTCCATTGGGGCCGAGGCCGTCGGTCAAAAGGGACAAATGATGACACCATACAAAATGTCCCAGATTTATCTATCACGTGCATTGCTTTTTTGCACGCGATTTTTCGATTTAGGGACCACCATTGACGTTTACTTTTTAACAGTTAAAAAAATCACCCTTGTAGTGCACAGCCTAAAACCAAACCCCAACAACCAGTCAGTAAACAGCCTGACAAACAACAGTCAACGATAATACATCCTACCAGCTATCCAACCTCCCTGGCAACACGGTAAGTTACTCAGAAGACAGATTAGCTGGCCAAGAATCCACCCCGTGCCAACCCATCAGCCTCCCCCTGTCACCGACTGCGCCATTCGTCGACCTATCTGGCGACGGAGCAGCCAATCCGGCGCACCTACAGACAGCCGACGGCAAATGTGGCGCGGTGACCGCCCGGAACGCCCCAGGCACCATGGACAACATGGCCTGGCTGGTCGGACCGATTGGATTGGTGCTCAGGAAGCTGGGGTCAGTAGCGAGGGAGAGAGGGAGAGAGGGAGAGGGAGGAGAGGAGAGGGAGAGGAAGGGAGATGGGGAGGAAAGAGAAGGAGATGGAGAGGGAGAGGGAGAGGGAGAGAGAGGAGAGGGAGAGGGAGGGAGGAGGAGGGAGAGGGAGGGAGAGAGAGGGAGAGGGGAGGGAGAGAGAGAAGAGAGAAAACAAGAGAGAGAGAGAGGGAGAGGGAGAGGAAAGAGAAAGGGAGATGGAAAGTGAGAGTGAGAGGCACAGACATTAGACATACTCGTGCAAACACTCAGACAAACAGACAGACAGACAGACAGACAGACAGACAGACAGACAGACAGACAGACACACAGACGACACAAACTGAGGGCGGTACGTGGGGCTGACAGGGGGTGTGCCCCCCGACGACACCGTCACCGTCCCCAGTGCCCCGCGGCGCCCGGTCTTGGCACATTCTCGGCTCATTCTTTGGGCATCAGTCCAACTGTCTGATTGGGCACGCTCGAGATGCCAGGACGACTATTGGCTGCTCATCGACTCCCACCGCAGTTAACGAGCAGGTGCTCGGAGAGTTTTTGCTACTTATTTGGGGCTGCGTTTATCAATTACAATCAGCAACGGTCTCCAGAGTAATGACAGGGTGTTCGACTTTTTCAATTATGTTAGTATGATGCATGCTGCTTGGAACGGTCTGTTCGCTAGTTTGCATTATAGTTATCATATATGATGGATGATTTTCGATTAAAGCATATGTATGCGTCAAGCAAACTCCCAAGAATAATGGCGCAGGTAAAAGGTTGTCATACCATGGCACTGAGTTTTATCGCATTTTCTTTGTAATCTTATTCTAAATTGATATATTCGCAGTTAGACTAGCGAAGAAGGACTGTTGTCACGTCTTGCAAGGGTAGAAAAGAAGTCATCAACAAATCAGCAATAAATTCAATGCAAAACCAATTACCAACCACAGAAATCGTGTCAGTGAGATGATGGCTGTATGACGTACGTACGTACTTACAATGGATTGCTGTAGGATATGGGATAAGAGCACACTTACGGCTTTCCTCCCGGTATGTTGCCGCTTAGACCCGCTCCTCTTGCGTGGAAATTGAGATCATTCTGAAAACAAAGAAACATTTGTGATTTTTTTTCCATCTATGATCGTCCATGAATGCGGGGAAGCCTGTGCGGGAAAGCGTGGCAACTTGCTGTCAATAAAACGTGTTATCTTATACACATATTAGAGTTCTGTGATTGCCATCCGCGGTGAAAATTAATATATAGTTGGGGACAAAAAGAGCATAGATCGATAAAGAAGATGCAAGTTAAAGGCAAAGATTACGTACACTGAATTGCGCTTATTCTTTGCTGTGAAACCATTCATAAGAAGTTGCATGCAGCCAACATGTTCTAAAAATAAAACTAATCACATAGCAATGATCAATGCCTATTTTGGTGTTAGAGCTATGCAGGGAGGCATGGCATTACGCCGTGGAGAGCTCTCATAACGAGTCGCGGAAATGGGTGGCGCTACTCCAACCGTGTGATGCCACTGGCAGTCAGCTTTGCTTGATGAGCAAATTATACATCATCGCCGCACATTAACGACTGGAGGGGTTATAAACCGGTGCCTGCTATGCTACCAAGTCCCACCCACAGCCGAGCGGATAGAACGAGCCGGCCAACCGTTCCACGCCGACTACAAATCACCTAATGACAGCCCATCAGCCGCTGGGAACCGGTGGCTCTCTCTAACTCTGACACACACGGGCCGCATTACAAACCGTCATCAGAGCGGCGGCGCACGGTTCATGGCAGTGGGTAGAGCGTGAACCCGGCTCAGTTCCCTAGTGAACCGGTCTGAATCAGGCGCGGCCCATTGACGGCTCATGGGCTCGGAAAATGACCGGACTTTGGTGGTTTGTGACTGCATGATTGCGGTTATGAACAAGGCATATCTGTCTATCTAGCATTGCTGCAAAGCTGACTTTAGGCAAGGGCAACTTATAAGCACAATAACATTATTTTTGGAAACGGAACTAAAATCTCTTGAAGCGTATTTTGTAATTTGTTTTGCTCTTAAGGCCACATACAAATCTAAAGCAAATCTCAAATGAAATTAATACACTTAACTCTCGCCCGCACATGGGGGGGGGGTTGCCACCCCCCCCCCCAGGTAGTCTCTCTGCTCTGCACTCAACATTTGTAGAGCTAGAGAGCTGATTTTTCGTATAGCTGCTCCTCTATCCTTTCTTGATGTCCACTGAAAATTTCAAGTTTCTGTGGTTTTTGGTTTCGGCGATATGACCTTGTTTTTCAAGTCATGTTATGACCCAAATGGCCAATTCTCAACATCTTGCGTTGGCTATGGGCCTTGTGAGCTTTTGACACCTTGATTTCGGCCTTTTTTGCCAGTCTTACTTCCAACCTATCATGGAACATGTTGTTCGACGATGTACAGATGTAAAGGTCAAGGTCAAGGTCAACCTAGGTCATCTAAGATAATTGCGTTTTAGGCAAGCGGAAATTACCTTTTGTGAAGTTTTTTTTTACTGCATTTTTGGTAAAAGCTTCTCAGATCATGATTTCATGTAATATGGACACATAAACAATCGGTGCACACATCATATCACACGGACATACAAACACATATAATTGACCTTGACCTAACTTGACCTGAAATGACCTCAGCAGCAAAAACCTGGTCGGGTAGTGACAAAGAGGTTCTAGCTGGCTTGGCACCAGAAAACGGCATCGTCATCGGTATATGATAATCAGCGCACTTGATATCCAACGGTGACCCAAACAGCAACATTTTTTAGTTTGACCTGACCTGGAAGGTCAATGACTGACCTGAGAAGGTAAAACTGGGTATCATTGGATTTGTCTCTTCCCAAAGAATCTTTTTGTCTTTACCGCTAAGCTCTATCTCTAAGCTCTAAGGGTGGCACCCCCCCCCCCCATGTGCGTTCTAGGATGGGAAAATGGCATGTGCGAGCGAGGGTTAATGGTATTTGCAATACGTTTGATGCTTCCATTGGAAATGCGATATGCTATTTTACGTTGCACAGCACGGAAGCTAAATGGTCACTCTAATAAGACCTGAAGAGAGCTCTATGTATTTGCTCTTCCATTTACGGCAAATGCAACATGTACCGACCTTCTATCCAATTTAACCAAACAACAAGACCCAGGAGTCCGTGCGATATGTCGCTGCCCATGGCCGGCTCTGGTTGACATTTCGGAGCGGATCTGCCTGCTTGCTGGCCCCCGGGGGTATTGCCAGGCGAACGAACAACTTCCTATCCGAACAGCTCGTCTGAATTGTCCCGGCTATTAGGGTCGGGGTGAGCTCCAAACAGAGCGAGAGAAGTCGCAGAGACAGGTTAGAGAGAGAGAGAGAGAGAGGAGAGAGAGAAGAGAGAGAGAGAGAGGAGAAGAGAGAGAGAGAGAGAGAGAGAGAGTCAGAAAGAGAGACAGAGACGGGGAGAGAGAGACAGAGAGACAGAGACAGATAGACAGATAGACAGAGAGACAGAAAGAGAGAGACAGAATGAAGAAAGAGAGCAAGAAAGAAGAAGAAAGAAAGAAGAAAGAAAGAAAGAAAGAAAGAAAGAAGAAAGAAAGAAAGAAAGAAAGAAAGAAAGAAAGAAAGAAAGAAGAAAGAGAAAAGAAAGAAAGAAAGAAGGGAGAAAGGATAGTGGATGTGGGAGTGCGATATAAGCAACGTTTGTTATTACAGTAGAATAGCACAGAAGAGCACAGAAGAAGGTGATGATATAATCCATCGGTGTGAAAAGAGTGGAAATCCCTGGTGCTGGAGACTGGAGGTACGAATAGTACTGGGACATGAGATAGAGGGACGGACCATCCGTTGAGCAGAGGGGCCATGGTGTGTCAGAGCGAGAGGAGACAGCAGGTCGCCGGGTCGCTCCAACTGCTCCCTGGAGTGGGCCCGACGATGGCTGGCCGGCTCCGGCCGCCCAAATTGAATTAGCCCGCCGGATTGGATGTAGCTGCGCACCCTTCACCCGGCTGGGAGGAGGGGAGGGGAGGGGGTAAACGGTAGACAGAGTCCACCAGAGGTAGATATATATGTCGAAGGATGGAGCTGGTTGATGCAATGCAGGGGCCAGTCATGGTGGCTTATTACTATCTGCGACAAAAACTCTGACTTCTTATCTTCATTTCAATAGTTCAGCGACGAGCTGCCGAATAGCTGAGTATAGTCGACTACAGAATGATGTTCCACTCCTCAGAAGCTATCAATTGACCGGAGCGCTAAGTTGTGCCGTTATCACGCAATTAAGCGTGTCGATTGTGAGCATTGGGACAAAGCTATAATTTGTGAACTCAGCCCGTGTGATGCGGCACAGCCTACCACTCCAGGCAAATAATTGCCTGTGAAAAGTGGAACATCATTCTGTAGTCGACTATACATAACAAAACGACAAGTAAGTAATAAGACGAGTTATTTTAAGCAAATTGACATTTCCCTTCATGGCCCAAATCCATTTAACAAAACACTGAAAGCAGCGGTTATCCGTCACGACTTCCCGCGCCGCCGGGCCATGCGGCACAGTATCACGCAGGCGTCTACTGCTGCTGCCACCTATGAGCAGGATTGTGAACCTACACGCGTTCAGCGGCACAGTCTACATTCAGGCGCTTTTCACACTGCCATCTAGGGGCGGATTTGATAAGTGCGCCGCAAGCGCTTCTTTGGAAATTGGAACCGATACTTGCATTGATGACACACACGAGTCTCTCTTTCGGCGTGTGTGTCATCAGCGTGGCCGTCAATGACACACACGCCGCTCACTCGGGAGCTCTGAAATCACGGATTACAAGATTCTACTCGCGTATTCTGTGATCCGCGCTGGAGTGGAATGTGCAGGCTATGCTGTCCCCACATGATGTCCTTTTATTGCTGGCAGATGTCACGCATTCACTGAACCACTTTAAGATGATGTTGACATCGCACTAAGCTGCCCAGCTACATCCATAAAGAAGTACCTAAATAAGGATATCACACGTTCTTACTTGCCCCGTTCCCATCTCGCTAGGGAAAAATCTACCTAAAGTTTGCGCGGTAGGCGCCGGCGGCAACAACCCGTGTGTCTAAGTCCGGGGGAGGGGGGGGGGCGACACGAAGGATCAAGGGACGACAGGTTGCAGTACTCACGTTTGCGCGGTAGGCGCTGGCGGCGGCCGCTGCTCCGTGGGGGGCCAAGTTGTACGGTTCAGAGGTGGCCGCCGCTGATCCGGGCAGGTTGAACGGTCCGAACGGACCTGAGAACAAGTAGCAAAATTACGAGACCGCTGTGATCATAGAGTTACTGGAAGCGCCGTGATCATAAAGTTAGTGGAAGATAGTATGGCACTTTGCCACTCATCTACGAGTATCAGATAATGCCACTAAATATCAGCCCAGCACGATACGGTATAATTGCTAATTATCAGTGAAGTAAGGTTCAGGGACCAGCATCCCACTAGACCACCACTTAACTTTCATGTCAGTAATTAAGCGGGAATGGTGACGAGTTTATTCCATGAAACATGTCCATCTTAATTAGCGAGGTCCCATCGCTGAGCGACTCATTCAGACGCTATTACCGCGTAAGAGCTGTCGCCTCAGCCACTGGGGTCACTGGGACCCGCCAGGGGTCAGCAGGGGTCAGCTAGGTCACAGAGGTCAGCCGGCCGGCCGCACCCGGCGCCCGGGGCGCAGACAACTGCCGCCGACTGTGCTGCCCCCGTGACCTCGCGCTGCGCCCGGTGACACCGTGTTCGCTGAGTGAAGCGGTCACTTCCTGCCCCTGGGGCGGCGCCGCGGGCCGACATATTTGGCCGCGACAGAAGATTGTCGGCGACAGGCTGCTCGTTCGCTAGTCATCGTGGTTCCTGGGACGTCTGATCAGGGCGAGTTGGGATCAATATTCAATATATAATTGACAATTTTAGTGGCTGCCGTGGTGCCGTTGCGATATCGGTCAGGCCGCTGGCTTTGTGAATAGTACAAATGACGAATTTACAGATGTGGGTGGCATTAATGTGTCATTGCCTTGTGTGTCATTGTACGGAAACACAGGCTGCCATTCGTGCTTAACCCGGCACCGCCTGGGCTATTTCCGTACCCACGACAGCCTGGGGGGGGGGGGTCGGATCCGACCCCCCCCCCTGTTATCTCGAGAACCAATGGTCGTATCGAGCCCCGCGAGGCGGCGTTCGAAAGGTCTCTACGAGACCTTCCCAAAGCACTCTTAAGATTTTAAGATTGAGGTCAACTTTCGGGTCAAGGTCAGGTCAAAGGTCAAATTCAGGGGTTTTGCATGATTAGGCTTACGGACAGCGGAATCGATAGCTGCTGCTCGAAACTCACCAAAAATGACCTCAAAGGCCTAGTGAAGGTACCATGTGCGTATAGGGGTCATACTAAGTACGGATCAAGGTCAGGTCAGGTCACGAAAGGTCACGGTTTTCAATTTCTGCTACATGGGCGTGCGACACATGTTTTATGGCTTATTTTTCACGCCGAATCCGATGGTAATGGTTATATGTGACCCCAAGTCACTGTGCTGGTGATAAGTGTGCATTGAAAGCATAAAAAATCGTTTATACCCTACATAACTAAAGGAGGGCTAAGAAAAAAAGTCAATTTTTCAACTTTTTATTTTTGACATAGAAATACACTTTTCTAGACGAGCTTTGTCCCAGGAATCTAGTGGTGCCATTTGTTTTCACATGCGATGTTCAGAAGTGCCTCTAATTCACGAAAATGCTTATGACGTCACCATGCCCTATGCATGTTGGAGCTATTTTTTACAATTTGGGGGTCAAAAGTCAAGATAGAAAGTTGAAATTTGGGGCATCTAATGTTCTAATAGAGCTCTACAACATATATTCCGGTTTTTTGGAAATTCCCAAAATTTTGGATTTTATTAGCTGTTTTCCAAGAAATGTGGTTTTTTGAATTTTTAGGGGTGAAAAACGCATTTTATGGAAAATCCGAGATAGCCATTTTAAAGAACTCGTTGAGCTGCGTCTTTTCATGTCCTTAATTTGCAATTTGCTTTAAACCCTGATTTTTGGCGATTTTTTTAAACATTTACCACTTTTTGACTAAAAACGCCATGTAGTTACATCACTAAAATCGATATATCTCAAAAAAATTTGGAAATTTCTTCTCAAAAATTGCACAGGAGACGTCAAATTGATGGGGAAGAAGGTATGCCAAGTTTCAAGTAGATAGCGAAAGTGGTTCATGAGTTTTAAAGAAAAACGGAGGGGGGGGGGGTCGTATCCGACCCCCCCTCCCAGGCGGTCGCGGGTTAACTAGCAGCTGTGTAAGTGTTTCTGCTAGGACTGCAATGCAATGCAAATGTTTATCCTACCTTTGTGGATAAGCGTTATAAAGCATATAAACTTATTGTCATGTGTCAGTAGCTATACTGTGATAAGTTGACACTAAACGGCACCGTTTTATCATCATCTCTAGCCTGTCTCCAATGCCTCCAATGTACCCAGTGGCACCACAGATCTCGGCTAGTGGTCTGGCAGTTAATTTCGGCGCGTCGAGCCCCAGCGAACAGCGCTGATTTCAGGTCAGCCAGCCAATACTGTGGAGTACGAGCCACTCAGGTCTGTCAGCTGACATCGGATGGCAGGAGCGTCGCGGCCGCAGGCCGGTTGCCATGACAACGTCCATAATTTGGGTGCGTGGATTATGAGAGGGTTGAGTGCAGGGGGATGTCACTACTTTGCTTCGCCATATTGGTTGAGTGTGTTCCTTGCACTATTTACTCAACTCTTTGTTGACATTAATAGTAATGAGTTCATATACGTGATATTAAATACTTGGGTGAATATTTAACTTACCAACTTCATAACCTACCAGGAATTTGGTAGTGGGCGTCAAGCCTGCCCTTAAGCAGTTTTGCACGCAAATACAACAGTTTGGTACTTAAAATAGTGATGTTAAATAGCTGAACACTTCAGTTTGAACTTCAACTTTGTCCGGTATTGAGCGGCTAAGGCAAAGTTTGCAATCGCCAGCCATGCAATCAGCATACTCCTTAAACAAATTGACATTGCAGTTGCAGTGGCCATTGCAGCCTTGTGCAGTCCATTAGTGTCACCACTCCGGACTAGCTGGCTTTAGACACGTCATCGCGCCTGGGGAGGGGGGGGGGGGGTAGCAGGGGTGGCTAACCATTTGCGACACGCAACACAACTGTAACCAAGTCACCGCTCATTAACGATAACATTAACGCGGTGGGCTAATGGTCCATTCGTGGAGCGTAATGGCGTCTAATGGGAAACAGGCGGAAGGAGCGCGGCAACAACGTTAAGCGTGGAACTTGGCCTGGTTAGACGGCACAAAGCCTTGCTTCCACGTCAATGCATCACAATAAAAGCACAAAGTTCCGGAGCCAATTCAGTGATGACATTTCGGGGATCCCTCATGTCATGGATTCTACCCAGCGTGAAATAGAGCAGTGAACTAATTCCTTAGTTTGAGGACCTTGGGACCGCCTGCATTTGTCAGCGAGTGGGTTTAGGTGTGAAATTAACTGTCCCAGAGGGCATGTAGGAAACGTTAGATGCAAGAGCTCTTGAACGGATGGGCTGGTGTTTCGGCTTCCCTGTCAGCGTATATGGGACAATGGGGTGGCCATGAGTGCTGCTCAAAGACCGGTCCCAATGGATCATTTCCATGTGTTCTGCTCGTAAAGTGAGCTGTTACATGTGAATAAAGGAATAGCCTACTATGACAGCCAAATTAGGTTGAAATTATAACATATTTTAGTTATAAATTGCAACACTGATGCCAAATCACTTATCACTCAACGAAGTGAATCGGTGTCAGAAAACAAGCCTGGTTTTGTTTTGTCCAATAGCGTGCATAATGCATATGTTGAACAAACATTTCTCCTCCGTAGCCTTAATTACTGCCATCATGGTAATGTGTGTACTCCGCAATTCCAGCACAGCAATTTAAGCAAGACGCAACTGAAGCAATAAACATGGAACTCGCCTCTTTAAGCGGCCAGTTCAATACGCTCACTCGCCGGGGTTATGCTAGGGGTTGGAGTTGGGGGGGGGGGCAGTGAACCCGTGTTTGCGTGCGAGTGTTGCCGTGCCACTGCACATACGGCCGATCATTATGTGACTTATGCAGCCGTAACTGCGAGTAAACTCGCTGTAAATTACCGCTCCACTTCCCTGACATCGTGGACGGCGTGCTCTTGCGACTGCATACGGCCGCTCCACACGAGTGCCTCACTAAATCATTTAATCTGAGCGGGCCAGTGGTATTGGCAAATGCAGGCCTTCATTTCTCATGCGCTCCATTCGGCAGTGCCGGAGTGGGCAGTCATAGGAGGTGTCTGATCAAGTATTCAGCGACTAGGGTCTGCAGTAATTGTGAGCTCAGAACTTTGTCTGAGGTACATGGAACTATGAATTAAATAGTATGGCGCGCGCATAACGTCACGACAGTTTTGACAAGTGCAGTATTATGAATAATGTGCAGCAATGGGCTACGTTCAAATATGATTATGCAGGTTAGTCCATAACTAATTTCCTGTCACTCCCACCGGTGAATAGCACGTCTACAAATGAGATACCTTTGTCCAACGGATGTGAAATGCTGACACACCAACACGATTTAGAGATGTCCGAGTCCATGCAAATTGAGGGAATTTATGGACTATGTTAGCATGCAGCTACATATCTTACGGCAACTGGTAACAGTACAGGGATGACTTTATCCACGCTAGTTCATAATACACATACGAGTAAACATCATTGGCGTATGTAGTCTTCTCCTTTCGTGAAATGGGTTTGTAACACACTCAAAGCACGATCGCCTTTTCATGGATGTCTCGTAAAAATGAAATGAAACTGACAAACTCATCGCATCATTGCATGTTACTATGGTGGCTACTCATGGATCACTGGATTTATCAAGCCCTAGGTTATCCACAGCCCTAACCAGGAGATCATCCGACCAAAACGAATCCTGAACATGTAGGTGAATGCATCCAAAGCACATCCCTGCGATTGCGCTCTTCCATCCACTAGTCTGTAAACTGACAAGTAAGTTCTTACTTGACCTGTGCCCTGACCTATGACCCGCCCTGTGACTTGCTCTGTGACCGCCCGTACCCTGACCCACCTATGGGCGGCGCCTTGCCGACCGGCTTTCCGTTGACCAGACTGGCGGCGGGGGCCACTCCAGTGGAGGCGGAGGAGTTGGGGGTGGTCGGCTTGTCCTCCATCTTCCTCATCGAGGGAGTGCTGGCGTTGGAGGACGTGCCGCTGTGGGGGCTGCAGAGAGACAGGGGGGGGGGAGACACACGTTGTTATTAGGAGTGCTCAGCAGGACTGTTCTCCGAGTGTTGATAGTCAGGACATCTTCACTTAAACAAATATCAAACACGTTAGGAATCTCTAACATGGTGTTTGACTAATCAAGGGTGTTGACGAATTCCTCAAAGCATAATGCACACGAAGCGTTGATAACTTCACAGGACATCGTGTTTGGCATTTATCAGATCAACGATTCGAAATTGAGAGAGAGAGAGAGAGAGAGAGAGAGAGAGAGAGAGAGAGAGAGAGAGAGAGGGAGAGAGAGAGAGAGAAGAGAGAGAGAGAGAGAGCATGTGCTGCAATAAAAATAGGTACCCTAACAGAGACTGTTTATTGAAAAACACAATGATAAGGGAAGCATTTCGAAGCTAACAAAAAGGCAAAACATTCTCGTGTCAATGCCTCAGTGCTGCCACCTAGTGACTGACCTCTGAGGCTCTCGTTTGGGGTGCAGCCGCTCGAGGCCGTTCTCTTTGGGTGACGTCACACCCCCACTGGTGGCGTCATTGGCGTCATCCACCACCAGGTCAAGGTCACTCTTATCGCCCTCGCTGCCCTGCGGGGGAAAGGTCACACAGGTTACATCAGGCAAGGGCATGTTGCGAAGAAGGAAGTGCCTAAAAATAATAAGATAACTTGTCAAATATGAGGTTCCGGGTTATACTAAAAATAGGAAGGTATGTTACCACTGTGAACCATAACTTTGATTTTGCAGACTGACTTCAAAATATCTGCTTTACGCTGGTTAATATATTCATCACCGAAATAACCCACCGAGTTTGCGCCTGGCTAGCACTCAAAGTTTTCAAAGATGACTGACGGCGCCCATTCTCAAACCCTCGAACTCTGTGAGTGCCCACTTCATAAATGCTCCAATGTGGCGTATTGTTATCGCCTGTCTTTGTTTGACGTTCATGGGTCACAGTCGCTGCACCATATACGACCTTTGACAAACCATTCATCACATATCCTGGTCGTTTTATGGACATCCTCGAAGACCCATAAGTCCGGCTATATGTCCGTGATTTATGGCGCGTTTGCCGACCCCGGCCAGGCGGCGGTGTCTGTTTGGATTTGTTCAGGGCGCGAAGTGAGGGCCGATTAGATAGTCACCCACTATCGCCTCTGTTTGGCGTGTAAAGACAGGTAGATTTTAAAGCGGGTAGATAAGTGTAGTGGTTCCAGGGGTGACATGCGGTGAAATTGGTCCGGCCAGGGCGGTGTGGTGAGCGGCAATCGACCACCTGTCGATAATGGTAAACAAACGACCAGCGCCAGCGACGAGAAACATGCATGAAGGTCTAAGAATCGGGAGAAAAAAAAGTTTCGTTTTATCTCGTATTTCCTCTCTATGCTTTCTCTGGGCTCCTCGAATTCCTACCAGTTGCATAACACATGTCTGATTCAAAACGTTATAGGGAATAAGCTACATAATGCGTATGTTTTATGGTGCCACCCGTATGTTGGTATTTTTATGATTATTGCTCGCAGTTCTACTTACCTCGGTTTTCTCTTCTTTCTTCATGCGTTTGTTGTCTGTCTCTGGGCTGCGATTACGATGGTACTTATCCCGCGTGGCCGGAGACACTGAAGGATTTCTCTGCAAAGCACAAATAACGTATGACGGATTAGACATGCTACGCACATTTGGTAGCTAATCCATGCCTAAATAGTCGACTAGGACCGTTTTTAAAAGCTTTCTAAGAGCCTCTAAGAACGTAGATTTTGTTAAGCTAAAGCATCTCTTTGTTTTTGGCTTGGTTAAAACGGCTTTCAACTCCAACACAGGCTGTGACAAGTTCAGACCATCACCCGTCCCTGGTATTGCGGTTAGTTTGCGTCGCTGCCCATAGATAGTGCTGGTGAGGCCACCGGGACGCGTAGCACGTCTGGGTGTGTATTATGGTCCCATATGCCGACACAAAGGACTCGAGGCGAGGAGCTACTCATCGGTAAAAGCGAGGGTGCGATGTAGGCCACTGAACTTGATAAAAGTGTGTTAAGTTTCGATTGTTGATACCACATCCACTAGCATTGCATCAGCAACAATTATGTTAAAAGAAATTCCAGCAATTGTTTGCGGGTGGGTGGGTATCTGTAACAAATAAAAAGTATCTACCCAAGTAAACCATGGAATTGTCTACAATCCTTACTCGCGGAGTCGTTCCATCAAAGACTTAATCTCCCAGCGACCTTTTACTTTCACCCCACACCCCTCGTTAATTTGTGCATCGGCAGCGGGTTTTCCGGGCACCCCAGCGTTCTTGATCTCCATACCGAGTCGCACTCTTACTGAGCCCGAGCCTTACCACCGCCGGCCACGTAATTGAATCATGTCCCGAGCGCGGTGGGTGTGTTATTGATGACTGCTCCGCATGAGGGATGCCGTACGATTAACGCACGATCCGCGCTCAATGGATTAATACGGAGCGGCCATTAGAGGCTGCCAGCGCCCGCGGCGCGGCGCGCGGCATTTGTGGCGCAGCGGGGTGCGTCACGCTCGCCGCATCCGCTGTGGCGGCGAACACGGCGCGCGCGGCGGGGAGCGGCGCGAAGTGTGCCCGAGACGCGGCGGAGATGAGGCCAGCAAATCATACTGGACCGTGTGTTTATTGATGCATGGCGTCGCGGCGGGACGTCTGAGAGGAATGGACCGGGAGGGAATCGAGGGATGAAGATTGGATTCCGCTCGGAGATAGAGGCTAGCCGCCGAATAGATGACGGTTATGGATTGGCTGAGGCCCCATATTGAGAATTGCCATATTCTTGGCACGAACGTAACAGTCGCCAAGGGAAACGGGCTATGTGTCGAGACTAAAAATGGCTGCATAGCTCCTTCCCAGCAACACACAGCAATTCCACACAGCGAGCCTCATCCCGCAAATAACCTTTCCTGCTGCAGAATGCCATCTATCTCTTTTCGTTCGTTCATTGCGAGATCATTCTCGTCAGGCCCTATACCCACAAGGTATGTGAGAATAAGCAAACCACAAACCGTGGATTCAGGACGATCGCTCTCACTTTCTTGAAATAATTGACACCACATAACATTCCAGTCAAGAACACTCCAGTGCAATGTTCGTAGAACCTTCTTGAGCTTAAAAATAATGGAAGAATGCCTGGCATTCGCTAGTTCGGAAGGCATTTATAACTGAGGATTCCCTTAGCGTGAATTTGTTTCGAATCGAGATAAAACAAATGGATAATGATAATGGAATGATAAAACACAACAGCCTCTGTGATGCTGATTGTGTTTGAACGGTTTTCATAGACTTCCTCTTCCGTATCATTTCACACGAGAAAAACACCCAGCCCGAAAAAATAAAACTCAATGAACACAAAATAGAGCTAAACCGAAACAAGCAACCCCACAATTACCATGAAGGCACTTACGTTTTTGTCATCTGAATTCAGCCCACCACCTGCCGACAAAAACCGAGGCTGGTGTCAGACTCACTTTCAAGGTCACAGGGACGGGTACACACATCAGTCACAGGCTGTAACTCAGCCCAACACTTGTGGCGCTTCTGTTGTGACGAATCCGACGCGTCACACACGCCGCGTCACGGTCGCTGGCGCCGCAGTTATCTTGAAGCAAGATGACAGTGACGGCGTACCAGTCATAAAGGTTATCATAAAGATTATGGAGTGAGTCGGGTCAGCTGGTTGGGATGGATATGGGACACCCCCTGCGTTTTAATGACACACACTAGAGAGATCGTTTGTCGGGACATTGAAAATGCATCGAGTGAAGGCTCATCTATGCATAAATTTATAACATATATCATTTTACATTCTTTTAGACCCGTCTTATCCCGCATAGGCATAAGCTTAGTAAACTTGTCATCATCACTGTATGGTCTCATGTGACGCCTGAGCCAGTGGCGCTGCCACGCCCACCTGTCACTGTGGAAGAGGTCTTTGTCTCGTCCCGACTGCTGTCCTGCTTCGGGTTGGAGAGGGCCGCTGGGTGACCTGCCTGACCTCCTGCCAGGCCGGTCAGACCCAGGAGACCTGCGGCAAACCGTCACCAGGGGTCATAAGGAGTTACCAGGGGTTATAAGGGGTCACAAGGGGTCACAGGGGGTCATCAGGGTCCCCAGGGATAACTAGACCTACATACACATAGGTATGACGACCCTTAGAAGGGTTCACTAAAACCTTAGGCTACCAGGGATCACCAGGGTCATCAAAGTTCACAAAGGTCACCAAGAGTCAGTACAGACTGGAGGAAAAATCAGGACACAACACTTTAACATCACTGTTCCCAGCTCTCACACACTAACGAGCGTATATTATTGATTGTGACGGTAGTGGTCGTAACGGAAGTTTATCGAAACAGCGTGGGAACAGTTTCCAGTCATCAGAGGGCGGGGTTAATCTGTGTGACCTGGGTTTCACATGGCCACAGGGTGATCAAATTTCACCTGTCACAATCGTTCTAGAAAGGGCGATCAGGATTCAAACAAATGTGTCAAATTGTTTTCAATAGGAAAAATCAGTTGATGATGGAAGACTGATGAGGAAGCAGAAAGCAAGAGAAAAAGAGAGACGGCGAGAAAGAGAGAAAGAGAGAGAGAAAGAGAGAGGGAGAGAGAGAGGGGAGAGGAGAGAGAGAGAGAGAGAGGGAGAGAGAGAGGACTGCACAACGTATATTGCTCATCTTAAATAAAGTTTATCCATCATTTATCACCACTTTCTTTATTTATTTTTACCAATTACAGATCATGCGATGAATGAACGCATCCCACCAGACTATGACCGTCGTTCCACAAGTTGGAAACGAACCAGTGGGCTCAAACCCAGGATGGCTCTTCGCTAGTTTGTTTTCGTTTAACGAGGTTCCGGGTGCTGGGCACATAACTGGGCCTTGGCCTGCGTGACCTTCACAAACTTAAAACTTGCAGTGTGATCAGAGTTTCGGGGCGAGTGGAATGGTTCTGGTCAACGGTACACTGGGTACTCGATAGTACGAATCGAGTCTGCCCTCAGGGCTCGACACCTTCGAGAAGTTCAGGTTAAAAAAAATGTTCAGGCTATGACATAGTGGCCGTTTTCACGACGGAATAGCAGGCATCTATTTAATCCCCATTTGATCCTTTGGTTCCTCAGGAATTTTAGTAGTTCTTTTTAGTAGGTTCCCCAGCTTTCGAATGAATGGTGCATTAGTTTGCTATTTTTCTATTAAATATCACATCGATTTACTTTATCTAAGGATTTATCACTAATATCAACATAAAGCGTAAGCACAATTATAAAATTATGAAATTATTGAATACTAGTACAATAGTTAAAAAAAGATACTGAGTTGCCAGGCTACAAAGAATATATTCATTTATGGCGCACGACAGACATTTAGAAAGCAGCGCCCTGTTTTATTGCACGCTGCTAGCCGCTTCCATTGGGTTTTGCAGGCCGACGTCATTGGTCGTTACACGTATGATGTCACGCGACTTGTGGCCTGTCACGGCTCTTTAATGATCTCCACTAAATGAATGCAACAATGGCCTTTTAAGTTGATCTCTGTGGCCATCTGTCTATGGAGCGACCAATATGAAAGTTGGGTGAATTTACCGGGGTTACATGACTATGAGCAAGCAAATGTGTATCAGGAATGGATTTAGGTGGAGAATTGCGCTGGACCATGAGTGCTCGAACGCTCCCAATTCCACGCCGGTTTGGCTTTGGAGCCGAAACAGACGATGCGGGTCAAGGTCACCGCTGGGGTAACGGTGGATTGGCTGCGCCCGAGCACCCGTAACGCGGCACAATTCTCCATCTATGGATTTTCCTATTCGCTCAGCATTGTGATAGGCGTTTGTAATAGCATTTACTCTGCTCATGTACCTATCCCCGGTTATTTAAAAGAAGTTTTTGTGGGGGAATATCACGGCTTTAGGTACTCGGTGGCCCTATTCACGACTTTCAAAGAATGCTCCGATAACTAAACACCGCACAGACCTACTGCATTAGTGAATCTGACAGAATGTCTGTGGAATTACATCCCCCCTCACCACACCCCTAAAAACTCATCCAGTGTCCAAAACCACTTTTATCGACTCGCCAAAAAAAACACACACACACACACACACACATACACACACAAAGCATGGGGCATGTCAGCTCTCAGTTCATTTATCATTGTCTTTACCATGGTTCAATTGCATTGCGCGATTTAAAGCACGTGAGTGCCTATATAGTATACGAGTATATGTAGAAAATAATATCTACAGCAAAACATCCAAAATTACAAAGGCTACAATGCTTAAAAAGTAGGTTCATCAAGGAAGCCCATTTTTACTTGCGTTGTGTTCCCAACCATGCGATTCCAACGCGGGCTATTCGCAACGTCTGTTAAGGCACGTTAACAACTGACAAGCCGCCACCGCTGCCACTTATTCATACTCGTAGATGGACGCGTAGGAACGGCTGGAACATTGTGGGTGCATGGGTGCAGAAATCCAACCATGGCCGGTGAGGGGGGGGGGCGACACCCGAGCGAAGGCTCGTAACGAGCTTTGAGGGTGTACCATGTCGAAAAGGTACCAACCGATAAGTGCATTTGGAAGCATTGATCCTCGCATGTGTAGGGGGGTCGGATGAACCCCCCCCCCCCATGGTTGTTCGCAAATAACTCGCGCAAAAAGCGGTCGAGCGCGACGAAACTTTTAGTACCCTCGAGTTGATCAGTTTTACACCTACTCTAACAATTTCATGACCCTGACCCAAAAGACCTTTGACCTGTGACCTGATTCTCGAGACCATGTTCGGCTGGAATCGCGATTTGGCGTATGTATGTCAGCTCACATTATCCGCGCGTTTCCAGTCTTTTTGTGATTGTAGACGTCCAAACATGTGAAATGATGTTCCCCCATGCATCACGGTGGGTGTGAAGATAACCTGAAGGTCAGGTCAGGTCATTGACCTTTGATGACCTCGGTTCACTTTTTCGAGTTTTACATGTTTCTACGGTAGTTTATAGGGCTGATTTCGAATTTAGCATCCATTTGAACGTTTACGAAGTAGTTTTAGTGCTTTCGTGACATTCTACGACGCCGTCAGTGGTAGTTGACACCTACTATGGATAGCCGGTAGGACGCCTAATGATTGACCTGACCTGACCTGACCCGATCTGGCCTAAATGCATGAAGAAATCATCTGTGATCAAAACTAACATCAGATATTTGTGATCAGCACCCCGAAAAACCCGATAACAGCTTCACTTTACGCAGTTCTAGCAGGTCCCGATTTTCCCGACTTTTGGAATATTGACCTGACCTGGAAGGTCAACCAATGAAGCAGGACCTTAAAATTGGGTATCATCCGCTTCCTCTCGTCACGGGCAACACCCTCGTTTTTTTCCGCGAAGCTCTAGCTCGATCAGGGCCGAACGGCAGGGGGTCCGACCGACCCCCTCCCCCTCCCCACACATTAGAAGCTGGAAAACGCTGCACACATTCGAGGGCTAATATTGTCAATATTGACTACTGCAAAAGTAAAAGCGGTCAACTTAGCCATTTTCGAAGATGTCGGGCTAAAATTTTGACAGTGGGTCATCGGTTCGGTATGTGTTCAATCACATGCTCCATTTCCGTTTTTTCAGCACAAATGTAAGTTTTGAAGACCATCACTGATCACAGTAGCAAATGCTTCGAAAGATGGATAGTAGGCAACATATCCTGAATTTGCCGTGCTGCATGGGAAGTAGTGTTGATGAAATTATTGTGGGTGCAGAATACATTGTCTGCACCCACTGGATAAATATTGTGGGTGCAGCTGCACCCATGCACCCATGGTTCCTACGCTTATGTAGATGGTTGATATCGCAGCTTGGGCGTCAGCAGCGCGGCCCACAACGCGTCGGCGCCAGCGCACGCAGCTGTTGGCACTCGGCAGCCGGTGTTGCGACTTAACGGCCGGCCGGCCCCATGAAGGAGAAGCTCTTGGTGAAGCTTTGTGATCGCCTCATAGCCGCCTTGGATGTCATCTTTCTTGGCAGATCCATCCGTTCAGATGGTACGGTGCAGTCTGGATAAAGGACGAAGTCCAACGCCGCTAACCCCGCGACCGCCACCCCACAACGTGGCCGCAGACCGAACGGGCGTGAGGGCCGTAAGGGCCACCCCGCCATCCGGTAGGTGGCTGAGCAGCCGGGCGCAGCGGCGCCTGGGCGGCGGCCGCGCTGAGATGAAGTCCCAAACCGCCATGTCGCCATCACCGCCATCACCATTGCTGCAGCTGTTCCCAACCGCCTCAATCGCCGCCGTTTTGCCAGCAGTCGCGCCGCGGAATGGCAGAAGCTCCAGAGTAGCCTCCAGCGCCCCTCTCCGCACGTGTGCAGGACGCAGGTGCACTGCGGCCGCCGGTCCGACGTCCAGGCAGATCATGATATTTCCATGCTGCTCCGACGGTGGGCTGGTCTTGTTTGGGCGTTCCTCCACTGTGACGTCGGTCACGCCTGCCCCAGCCAGGGCGCAGAGGCCGACGTGTCACCATCCGGTTGCAGTCCTCAGTCGGGTCGCAACGTGTACCTCTTCCGCAGCGTGGAGCGCGCTCCCGCTGGGCAGCGATACAGCCAAAAGTAGCATAGCATGCGGGCGGCCAGCGCTGCGCCGGACAGCGGACCCATGCCGGGGGTATGCCGGTCTCGGCCATTAGCGGGGTCGTCGGGGCCGAGGCTGTACCTACATACAGCTGGTGACCGCGTGAGCCGCCAATCGAAGCTCACGGCTTATAAGCTCGACGCGGGCATCACACGCCGTCCCGATGGGAGCTCCACGACGCCGCCGCGAACTCCAGCGCGGCTCGCAGCGCGAAGACCAGTACGGACGGCCGGGGCAAACGGCGTGCGGGAGTCGCAGGCGACGTTCTGCGGACAGAAAGGGTTGGGCATAAGCTGGTCGGCAGGACACTCTTGAGCCGAGCCTTTGATGTAATTACAGATGATCCAGAAGCATGCACAAAAATTCATGACACACTATTCTCATTTATGTATTTGCTACATATGATATGAT